ATTTTTTCACTTGATGTGCTCAACAACAAGAAAATATAATAATATGGAATTTCACTTCGCTGGCTTCGTGTTTAGGTGGTGGTTCTTCAGGACTTCAAATGGTATGACTTTGTCCTCAAACTGCATAAGTTATACAATGGTACACACTTATCAGTGGAAAACGTAACTTCAAGAAGGTGTACTCTCTCTCTCTCTCTCTCTCTCTCTCTCTCTCTCTTTCTCCATTTGAAAAGAACTTAGATACAGTGAAGTTTGCATGGTTAGAATTATCATGTCATATTTCTACTGCATTAGTTATATTGGTTCTCGATTTTTGGTCTACCAATACTGGTCATTTTATTTTGAAGTATTTGTCGAGGATGGCTCACAACTCGGTATCCTTACAACTTCTCGACTATATTTTCAGTGTAAGTTCGATCGAGATCGAGGAGGTTGTCAGCAGTAATAGTACTTTTGTCCAGTCTGATGGGGAGTTTTTAGGGTTCCTCCCAAAAAAGTTTAGCATTTTACCCGGTGCTATTGAGATGATATGCTAGATTAGAGGATGTATTTATTTTGCCTGAAAAAATCACAGCAAAATAGGAGACAACTGAACCAGATTTGCACAGGAAGAGAGGCCAGAGCTCAGGTTTTGATGTCACTTGGACTTGACAAGAGTATTTTGTAACAACTACTTTTGTTTTAGATTGCATTAGATTTTGTAGCCTTCTATCTTCAAACTATTTATCTTTGGATATTTATACTAGTACATAACAATATGTACATATAAGTTTACGAAGGGTTCAATCCTATCGGTGTTTGTGTTGTAGTCACCTATAGGTTGAAATGAACCGAGGCATATCAACTTTCACATGATTAGAGTCCACTTGGATATTTTATTTAGACGGACCTTAACTTGCAATACATAAGTATATTAATTATTATGTATAGAGCTCAAATTTAGTATTAGTAGCTTATGATCAAGAATGAAGATATGTCCAAGGATTTGATCCATTAATAGAGAGGTAAGGGAGACACATTGTTTGTTAATCAATCATGACGTAAAACATCACATTCCATCCTCTGGAATGAGAGCTGATTTCCCTTGAGATCATAGGCCATATAGAAGTACTGCTGCATGTAGTTCCCCAAGACTCCGAAGTCAAAGTTGTGCTGCTCAGATGGGGCTGCCGTGACAGTGGATGTTTCTTGCTTCTGGATGTACTTTGATGTTTTGTTCTTCTCCTGCTGTCCTGATTGTAATTATGGTCTTTGTTTAGTTTTGGCTTTTGCTTCTGTACATGTTGTATCTTTTGGTTTTTATTTAGTTTGGACTTTGCTCTTGTATAGGTCATTTTGCTGTCCATTTCCTTGGCTCTGGTGGTAAGTCCAAGGAAGGTGTATATTGTGTACTTTGATTTGCAGTTGATACAATTTTCGACTGTTGAAAAAAAAAAAGACTAGGAGACACATGTTATTATGCATGTATTTAATGTCTCGAGAGATTGACATGTGTATTTTCAAGACTGATAACTACATGTCTGATTACATATGTAGTTAATCAAGTATTGATTGCGTGAGCGAGAATTGATTTAGATTTCGATTAGTTTATTCGCGAGTAACAATTGTTTGATTACATGTTTCCGAACCTACGTGTCTTCTTTCCATCTTGAGTCTTAGGGTGCTTAGTTCTTTTTTTCTCTTTTTCTCTTTTTATTGCAATTTTAGGTCTTGTTTGCATCAAAGTTCGAGTCTGGCTTGTTAAAGTTTGGTTGCTTTGATTTTAGTTTAAAGTTGTGACATTTAACTTATTTCGAACCCCAAATTGCGAGTAGAGGGGTAAGGATCTTTCTTTTCCTTTCTTGTGTGAGTCAATCGTTATCTGAATTCGTGTCCGAACAACCTTCCTCGGGAGACACGATCCGAAGTCGGGATTTATTCTGTACTCAGCTAAAACCAACTTAACAGCAGGGTTTCCATAAGATATAACAAAAGTAAGGAGAAATCTTGAGAGTAAAACAAACAAATCTTCTTCTACCTGCTCCTTGTAGCTGCTGCTGTATGGTTTGAAAATTAGATTTTTCTCCTAGTTCTCGGTCTTTTAGTACTGCTCGTTGCCTCTTTAGCCAATTTAGCTCTTAATACAGGATAATTCAAATCAGGTCTTTTTGTTATTGGAATAAGTGAATTCTTATGGATCCATCCCCCAAGGAACCGGACATGATAAAATCAATTAGCCCATGTACAAAAATAATAAGCAGAGTAGTTTGTCCGTCTATGCAGAAGTCCAACATTGTCATGTTACACAAAATTACAGCACTGGCATGTTGGTTATATGTACGCCATGCGGAGCTCCCAACTTAATAACTGATCAAACTGCACCAAAATCTCAACAATTGTAGTTTCCACTCAAAATTATAAGATAAGGTCGAAAATATATCAATTAAGCACAAATGTCCAACGCATAGGCTAAATTACATTACAAAATTAGCACATATCTTCGATCTATCACTTGGACAATTCAAACTATGTGCACATGTGTGCACTTGTTTTCTCTCATCTTGTCAAATTGGTCTGACAAGTTTTTGGGCTACAAGATGAATGAAAGGATGATCGAGAGGTTAACCCAACAAAGGTGCAAGTGGTTTGAAGAATTATTTGTTTTTTATTTATTTATAATTAATTAAAACTTAAGATAAATTATATTGACAAAAAATAATCACCAACTTGATTTCGCCTGACTCATTGGTAAGAAAAAATTCACCTTATATTTTAAGGTGAAAAGTTATTTTGTTAAAAAAAAACAATAATAATAATATTGTTGGAACTTAAATTTGTTTTTATGTTTATATTGACCAAAATATTATCAACATGAATCACATAAAATTATTTTTTATTTTATTATAAGAAATATTAAGTTATAATTAAATTATTGCAAATATTAATATTAATATAATTATTCAAGAAAATAATTTATTGATCATATCGGACTTGATCAAATTTAGAAACATGTATATACAAATATTAATTGATACATTTGAAAAGATTTCATATAAGGTATGCATTAAATATTCTCAATTTTTTTTTCCTAATATTAGTATATATAGAGATATAACAGTAATCTAGTTTTAATCATTTATTCATTTATTCAATTACAATTTTAAAACCTATAAAAAAACCCTAGTAATAATGATTCTTCTTCTTTTTTTTTTTTTTCCAAACATCAAATTATATAACACTAAATCAACCATGTACACATCGGGTAGCCAAGGGACTACAAGTTCTTTCACAGCAAGATAAATGTGAATATAATATTTAATTCTTGGAAAATATTATGTGTACATAATGAATATACATAAAGATGTACATAACACTCACATGAAGTGTGGTCTATTTAATTTTTTATTTTTAATAGATTCCACTCAACGTGAGTATTACATAAATCTCTGTGTACATCTCTAGATGTACCTACAGCAGGTCCCTTCTTTTACAAAGCACTTCAATTTTCTTCCACATTTCGTCCCCTTCGTTTTCGCTTCTCTGTCTTGCCCACAAAGCAAAAGCACCTGACTCCATAGCTTTATCTCTCAATCCTTCACTTGCTACTTTGAGACTATGCATATGTTAGAGCCCCAAATCTCGTTCACACACTGGTTCGTCTTTCTCTGTCTATTTCAGCATCTCGCATGCATAACTGGTTAACAAAATAGCGTTCTTTACAATGTTCGGTTAACTTTGTTTGATAGAGAAAATTGTTCTCTTGGTGTTAATTGTCTATTTATTCTTTATCTCTACTGTTTGCAGATTGTATTTGAGGGGAAGAGCCCAGGTGGTTTGACTTGGCTCAGGTTGCGATCTTTAGCTCACGCTCATTCTCCCAGATCATTTAAATATAATAAAATCTGCTAGGAATGCAAGGTGTTTGTAGAAAATCCGCTATGAGAATTTCAGGACTGAAATTCTTCTGTTCTTCCGTGCACGGTATGAGCTGAGATCATCTGCTGCATATTCAAGCAAATATTATCAGCTCAAAGAGTCGAATAATGAGTGGAAAAGTGACTCTAATGGTTTCCTAATGTTGGGATTGGCCCCGAGCACTAGTACTCAGTATTCGAAGGCTAGTCGGTTTTACCCAAGTTTCTCAAGTAGGCTGGTGGGAAGTTTGGCCTTTCGGGGAAGTCTTTCTTTTGCTGGGGTTGGCCCCTTGATCAGTCATCGTTCATTTTCATCATCGACTAGTGAAGCTGCTAAAGGTAGCATTGGCAGTGCAAGTAATTGTGGTGTTGGTGGGGAAGATTGGACTGCTAAAATTAAGGAAATGTGGGAATCGACAGCTGAGGCTGCAAAATTTACAGGGGAAAAGGCAAAAGAGGTGTCTGATGAGGTGGTTCGTTATGTTCAGAAGTTGCTCGATGCTCATCCTTCTCTTAGGGACGTAATTGTCCCAGTGGGTGGTACCTTGGCTGGGACTTTATTGGCTTGGTCTTTGTTGCCGAGGATTTTCAAGCGTTTTCATAAATACTCTGTGGAGGGCCCGGGCTCTCTCCTTTTCAAGAGCTCGATATGGGGACCTGTTCCTTACGAGAAAAGCTTTTGGGGCGCATTGGAGGATCCCGTTAGATATTTCATTACTTTTATGGCATTCTTGAAAGTGTTAGTTTGAATTTATCTCGTATCTTTTTCTGTGATTTCAAATCTTGGTGGTATTCTGTTTTTATATAGGGGGATAGCTTGCAAATGTTGGGGTGGGGAGAAGAATAAATCTTTTTTGAAATTACAAATACCCTCTTAATGTGCTACGGATCCCATTGAGATTTCCCTTTAAAACCTCACTCGTGCTTCTTCTCGCTGCAGGGTAAAATTGACAAAAGAGAAACAAATGTCAATGGGTTTGTGATTTTGGAATAAAATCAGTTGTTTTAGTTTTCTTTTTTTTTCCCTTGGTAATTGATCCTTCGAGTTATTAGAAAGTTGTAACTAATTCTGTTGATACCCTTTGGACAGTGGTGAAATGGTGGCCCCAACTGTTGTTGCCTCACAGTATGTTGCACAGGCTTGGAGGGGTGGCCTTGTTGTTTCACTTGTCTGGTTTTTACATAGATGGAAAACAAATGTTATTACCCGGGCTTTGGCTACTCAGAGCCTAGAAGGGGTCCAGAGAGATAAGCTTTTGACTTTGGACAAAATTTCATCTGTGGGACTTTTTGTTGTGGGCTCGATGGCATTTGCTGAGGCATATGAAGTCGCGGTACAGTCTATTCTGACAGTGGGAGGAATAGGAGGTAATATCCAGAGGAATTAAAAGTGCTTCTCTCTATTTGAAGTTTCTTTGAAAGATTTATTATGGCATATTCAACTGCTAGAATGGGGTTGTGCGTTTTGTAAGATGCCGTGTCCTTTCAACACTACGCTTTATTATCTCTTGGAGATCATTTTGGTACTATGAACATTTTTCTTTTTTCTTTTTAAAAATCACTGCAAAGAAAGTAATAAATTGTTGTTGGACTGGCATGGTATGTTATATTTGGTGAAATTGCAACTACAAAGATGACTCTGAATGGCAATGAATAGAGTGATATGCATAAAATCATTGGTGGCTGGTCCCAGTTTTCCTTTTCTTTTCTGATTCATCTCTTTTTGTGGCTGTTTTTTCTTCTGCTTTCTGGGTTAGTGAAGGTTGAAATTGAGATAGTTGTTTCCGTCATGCAGGAGTGACTACTTGGAACTTGGAAGAACAAATGACCACAATACCCTGATAAAGTGGAAAATATTCCAACATTACCATCCAACTCCACAAATTTACATTACAAAAAATCACATTCATTTTGCAAATTCAGAAGCCTCAAACCCAGAAATATTCTCCTACTTTTGTAACCCAAAAAAAAAAAAAAAAAATGTATATATATATATATATATTCTCCTACTCGCTCACCCAACCACCTCTACCTGTCCAGCTGACCTTCGCCGCCTGCCGCTGCCGTTCACCAAGCTCATCTTCGTGCCCGACAAGGAGTGTCTGCGTCCTGTTTGCTTGCCTCCTCCTCCACGTCCGGCAGATCTCCTATTCCGACGGCCGCCGCCGTGCTGAACAACAACCGGAACAGCTAGTTCTCTAGTTCTCGGGGTCGATAAAGTCACGGGGCCGCACTGCGGAGGATCGGCACCTCCAGCATCGATCACACCATCTGCACGATCTGGGATATCGAGAAGGAGGTGGTGAAGATCGCGCACGACAAGGAGGTTTACGGCATAACGGCCAAGTAAGTATGGAGAAAGATTGAGGGAGTCACGTTTCACATTTTTTTGCAGGTCTAACCACTCTTCGTGTCTTGCAGCTCATGTTTCACATCTCATATGCTAAGCAAATGAAAAGGCAGGAAAGGACCAGATGACAAGAAGTAAGGTTAGTTCTGCCCAAAAAAACAAATGAGCCCAAATTTTGTTGAATAGCTTGTAACATATGATTCTTTAGATTTTTCTTAGTTTGAGACTGTGAGAATACAAACTCAAACTCCAGGCTCTCTCACATTTGAAGATGCATTCAAAGAGTAAGGAGGATGCATAGTCATGAAATTTATGCTGCAGATAATTAATTTCATGGGCCGATAAAGATTGCAAGAGCTGTGGATTGACTGATTTGGAAGGACTACTAAGAAGGCTCGTTGGACCTTAACATCTGAGAAGATTTAGTAGTGATTTTCAGAGTCTCCTACTTCGCAGAGTCTCCTACTTCACAGGTAATTATGAGCTGTAACAGGTAATTTTGATGTGAATTTAAATCTTCATCATTCTATCTTGCTCACTTTAAATTTATGTGTGTGTGTGTGTTTTGGGCATAAATGTTATTTTCTTTTTAGGTATTAGGTAGGCTGAGTGGATTTGAGCTAATTTAAGTCTAGAAATCATTGAATTTGTGTTGATTATTGTTGGTCTTGGACACGGATGAACTGTGTTAAAATATAACTTCTGTTTCTAAAGCTTAATTTTGTGGTGATTTTCCATGTTTACTAATTGGTTCACATGCTTCTATATTGTTTAATAGATATATATCATCATATTTGAGCTAAGTAGTGTTGTGATCATGCCTTGGATGACAATAGATTGGCATCTAATTTGAATTGCAAGCTTGAATAATAGTTTTCCATTGTTGACTTGTTGAAAGTGCAAATTATGCATGGAAATTATCTCTTTTCTATTGATTGGTAAAACAAAGTGTTATATAAACCTTGTGTGTATCGACATATTATTATGACTATATGCATTACACACATTTTCTTTATTTTCTATTTAAACAATTCTGCACTATTGCATTTCAGACACTCGGTGCACATACCTCTTTCCCGCCAACCCAAGATTTGTTATGTTGACAATCGTTATGCAAGCTTTTAGGGAGACCCCCGCAACACAAGGCAGAACTTGGCTTTCCTCATCTTGTGACCCATTTCCCTCGCCAATACTCTAGTCTTTATGATATCAAAATCCTGGAAGCTTGACCACCATTTTACTACTAGCATCTAGCATCTTTCGGGTCATAGAGTTAGCAACCCCTTCCCATTAACCAAGAGTAGTTCTACATATGGATAATATCCCATAAATACTTAAAATCGTAATAAACTCAAACGTTCATATGACAAACTAAACTATTCTTCAAATCCTTTACTCGGTAGGGTGCTAGGGTGCTGTGAAATCTGGCATGCCACAAGGGGAAGATACATCATTGGTTCTGCTAAACCTTTACTTCCGATTGGCCGAACACACCAGTAATTCTCTTGTCCCCATTAGGCGACTATAATATGATTAGCCCCATGCGACTTATTCCAGTAGGGATAGTTTAGACTGATTCGTCTCGCATAATTTTTTAGTACTGATTCGACATCGAGGTTGCTTCTTAAATAAGAACGAATCAATAAAGAAAATATAAAACAATTAGCTTCAAATACTCATTTTATCAATCAAAATTTAAAACGTATGACATTGTTCAACCCGTGAGACAATCGACACTTTATTAATAAAAACTCAACAGCCATCATCCAAGTCAGCCAAGTCAGCCACAGGTAGCACAGGACAATTAAAATACCTCACAAAACATTCCATAAACTATTGGGTTTGTTGGGTTAGTGTTTAATTCTGTGATTTAATGCTCTCTGATCATTCCTTTTTCATTTTGTTATGTATTTTATTTTTGTTACTGTGTACTATTTTACCCGCAAGTCGTGTGTGACTTATAAAAGCGAGTTGCGGTTTCTGTTCACTCTCGCCATATTAGTAATGCGGTCCACGTGCTGATAGTTGATAAGATGTATTGTTCTCTCAGCTCGAATTTATCCTATCAACTATCGACACATGAACTGCATTACTAATATGGTGAGAGTGAACAGAAAACGCACCCGCTTTTATAAGTCACACACGACTTGCGGGTAAAATAATAAACAACAGTAATAAAAATAAATTACATAACAAAATGAAAAACATTAAATCACAGAATTAAACACTAACCCAACAGTTTGTGAAATGTTTTGTGAGGTATTTCAACTGTTCTGTGTTGTGTTCTGTGTTGCCAGTGGCTTGTATGATTAGTGTTGAGATTTTTATTAATAAATTGTCGATTGTCTCACGGATTTACTTATGGGCCAACAATGTCATACGTTTTAAATTTTGATTGATAAAATATGAGTATTTGAAACTAATTGTTTTATATTTTTTTATTGTATTCGTTCTTATTTAAGAAGCAACCTGATGTCGATGTCGAATAAGCACTAAAAAATTATGCGAGACGAATCAATCTGAACTATCCCTACTAATAAGTCGCATGGGTCTGATCATATTATAGTCCCCTGTTCTAGTGGGGAGTAATAGGGAGAATTACTGGACGAGTGCTGATGCTGGACGAGTGATGCTGAAAAACAGTTCAAGTGGTCTGTTCGGCCAATCGGAGGTCAAAGTTTAGCATAACCAATGATGTATTTTTCCCTAGTGGCATGCCAGATTTCACTGCACCCTACCATGTAAAGGATTTGAAGAATAGGTTAGTTTATCATATTAACTTTTGAGTTTATTACGATTTAAGTATTTATAAGATATTATCCATATGCAGGACTACTCTTGGATACTGGGAAGGGGTTGCTAACTCTAAGACCCGAAAGATGCTAGTAAAACGGTGGTCCGGCGTCCAGGATTTTGATATCATAAATACTAGAGTATTGGCGAGAAAATGGGTCACAAGATGAGGAAAGTCAAGTTCTGCCTTTGTGTTGCGGGGTCTCCCAATCCAAACGCTTGCATAACGATAGCTATCCTTGTGTACCATGTAAGTTCATTTTTAATTTTGTTTTTTCCGTTGAAAGAGAACTATACTTTGGGATTTATTTTATAGCAATCGTGGAAGATGGAATTGTCTTGCCGTTCAACAACCTTTTGGATTGGAATAAGTTCTCTGTCATTGTGTTTTGACAATTGTATCTAATTGGCCGCAGAAGAACACGATGCGCATAGCAAATTCATATTGTATGGATCTTTGATTTTGTTCGGCCTGTTGGAATTGAGATTGAGGGGTCAGAAAGAAAATGTGAATAGAAAATAATTTCTACCTCATCTTTTCTTTTATTTTTAAAATGTTAAATTATGTTTGGAAGTTGAGCATTCTATTGTTCTCACTTGTCATTGGTTTACATAATTTTTTTTTTCATTATTTACTTCTCAAAAGGCTTTTACATTCTCATTTTCTATCATATATATAACTCAAATCATATTAACAAGTTCTGATGGTTTTCTATTGTCTTATATTTATAAAATGAAGAATGTGTTTTCCCATATGAAGGGTTCACCTGGGGATTGTTTTAAGGAATGATCATGGGTGTTAAGGATAGGATTCTGTTGGACAAGGATAATATGGGGACTCTTCTCTTAATTTTTACTAACCTCTTGCTAAATAAGTATGCATCAAAAAAACCATGTCCGGTTAACAACAATTTTTTTGTGATGGTATATTTATTCTGTAAGTTAATGAAGTTGTTTAGAGATTGGAGTGTGGCTTTTGACGCGAAGTAATGTTTTTTCGCATGCATCTTTATGATTGATGGACAACCCCCATTGATTTATTAATTTATGTTTTCCAGTATCAACATTTTCTGCATTTTTTATCCTCTGGCCAACTAACTTTTGGCTCTTACTTGTTGTCCAATACAAGGATCCTACCAAGCATTAGAAATGAAGAACTTGGCCGAGAGAAAGGCACAGTTCGACTAAGAGACTTTATTTTTTTTGGTGAAAATGGTAAATGCATTTGTATTTTTTGTTTTTAGTCATTTTGTGCTTGGTCTGCACGTTCAGAAGGTTTTAAAGAACTTGAGCAATATGAACAGCAGACTGAGAAACTATCTTTGAGGAAACAACTTAAGTTGAAATGCAAAGAACGAAGTATTTTTAGCTTGCACATGTAATACAGTTTACCAACTCGGTGAAAGCCCATTCAGCCTGCTGTTGGTAAGGACTAGAAGCCTATTTGTGGCTTGGGGGATCGGGGCCGAGCCCATTCAGCTGCTATGGTGCGTGAGGAATATGGGGATGTGAAACAATGCCTCCTCGTCTTAGGTATCATTTTTTTTTTTATTTTTTTTTTTTTTGTCTTTTTCATTTACCCTGTTGTAGTGTGAACTCTTCTGATGGGTATGGTGATGGTGATGGCTGGTTAGGTGTTCAAATGGTAATCAGGTGGTGCAACTTAACTTGTTGACACCATTTGGTCACTTTTTTGAGGCAAACGGTTAATTGATAATAAATTATCAAGAGTGACAGTTAGATGTCATTTACATTATCAAAAGTTGTGTCTATGCTCAACAGATGCTTGTATCATAATTCCCTTTTGTGGAACATTATAATCGCTTCCGCATTTAATTCGTGTTTTTATACAAAAGTTGGTGTCACACTTGAACTGAAACAGAACAGATACCAAACACATTACTTACAAATATAAGAAAGAAACATTGTTTGTTTGTTAATCATGATGACGTAGAACGTCACACTCCATCCTCAGGAAGGGCAGCTGATTTCCCTTGAGATCATAGGCCATATAGAAGTACTGCTGCATGTAGTTCCCCAGGACGCCGAAGTCAAAGTTGTGCTGCTCAGATGAAGCTGTCGTGAGGCAGAAATTGTCATCCCCATTGTCCTTGAACATTTTTCAGCCGTGAGCTCGAGCACGGCCCCTCCGTTGAACTTGAATTCCACCACTGGGAACCCCACCAGGTCCCTTCTCACAACCCCTACATAGCACAACAACGTGTACGACTCGGTGCCGAACTTAACAGAGTAAGTCCTAGTCAGGATCCCGCCAATCACGTCCGTCGAATCCCATGGCGGTTTGACCTCCGACCGTGATGCCCTCGAGGTTGATGTAGTAATGGTTGTTGACGATGAGGGGTGGTTGGGAGCCGTGGAGCCTGATCTCATCCCCATCGCCTATGATGAGTATGTTGTACGGGTATGTGGTGTCGCTGATGTTGCCGATGCACTAGGCGAAGCGCGAGGACCCCGTCTCGCGAGACACGCTCGCTGTTGAGGCCTAGGACTCCGTTGGCTGGCATATTCCCATCATTAGTGGCGCAACCGAAAGTGATGTTCTTGAGAACGAAGCTCTCGTCCTCCTCCTCGTTGTCTTCGTCGTCGAGGGGTTCGAACTCAAATGTCTCCCGGGCAAGGTAACCACTGCTCTCTCCCTCGGCGTAACTGACCTTGTATTCGCATTCCTTGTCTCCGCACATCTCCTTGCAATTCCTGAAAAATTGTTTCTTTTTCACTTGGAACCCCGCAATAAAATTAATAGGTGGCAGGAGATATATATAAAAAAGAGTTCTTTATTGAATACCAAGATTCGTGAGTTCCCTCCTTTAGAAGCCAAAAGTAATATTACTCCTGTACCAAAACCCGTGGGATTCGTGGATGAAACAGAGCCCTCAGATTTTTGCTGCTTCACGTCATAAACTTGACCTTGCTTGCTTGGATTCTTATGTAGGTTTGCATCTGAAGCCACATAGTCCTCCTCTTCCACCAGTTCCAGAGGCTCCACAACGAAAATCGGGCCGCTGTTGTAAAAGCTGCCCATGTCGCCAGTAAGAAGCTCCTCGAGTCCTTCATCGAACACTGGCGGTCCGTCGTAGAATGACTCGTCTACACAAAACACCGATTCCCATCGCCGCGAATCCTGGGACGATATCAATGAGATCGCAAATCTAAAAAACATCTAAATACGAATCAATTCATCTTTTATTCATTCAATAATTCACCACCAATAACAAAAGACGAGAGGTCTTTAAATAAGACACCTAAACCTAAAACCTATCTTGTCCACCAAGCTACTAACTAATAATAATAATAATAATAATAATAATAATAATAATAATAATAATAATAATAATAATGTTGTTTAAATATCTGCATCATTTGGTTAGAACTTAAAATCTGTTTTTATGTTTATATATATTTACCAAAAAATATTATCAACATGAATCACATAAAATTAATTTGTAGTATGTTATAAGAAATGTCAATTGAATTATTGCATGTTAATAAAATTATTCAAGAAAATAGTTTATTGATTATATTCAATTTAATGTGATTTGAAAACGTGTATATACAAATAATTAATTGATACATTTAAAAAGTTTTTAAAGGGGTATGCATTAAATATTCTCAATTTTTTTTTCCTAATATTAGTATATATAGAGAGAAAACATTAATCTAGTAATAATCATTTATTCATTTATTCAATTACAATTTTAAAACATATAAGAAAAACCCTAGGAATAATGATTCTTCTTTCACAGCAAGATAAATATGAATATAATAATTCTTTTATAAAGCACTTAATTTTTCTTCCACATTTCGTCCCCTTCCTTTTCGCTTCTCTGTCTTGCCCACAAAGCAAAAGCACCTGACTCCATAGCTTTATCGCGCAATCCTCCACTTGCTGCTTTGAGACTATGCATATGTTAGAGCCCCAAACTTCGTACACATAACGGGTTCGTTTTTTCTCTGTCTATTTCAGCATCTCGCATGCATAACTGTTGAACAAAATAGCGTTCTTTACAATGTTCGATTAACTTTGTTTGATAGAGAAAATTGTTCTCTTGGTGTTAATTGTCTATTTTTTCTTCATCTCTACTGTTTGCAGATTGTATTTGAGGGGAAGAGCCCAGGTGGTTTGACTTGGCTCAGGTTGCAATCTTTTAGCTCTCTCTCGTTCTCCCAGATCATTCGAATAGGATCAAATCTGCTAGGAATGCAAGGTGTTTGTAGAAAATCCGCAATGAGAATTTCAGGACTGAAATTCTTCTGTTCTTCCGTGAAATCTTTCTCACGGTATGAGCTGAGACTATCTGCTGCATATTCAAGCAAATGTTATCAGCTCAAAGAGTCAAATAATGAGGGGAAAAGTGACTCTAATGGTTTCCTAATGTTGGGATTGGCCCCGAGCACTAGTACTCAGTATTCGAAGGCTAGTCGGTTTTACCCAAGTTTCTCAAGTAGGCTGGTGGGAAGTTCGGCCTTTCGGGGAAGTCTTTCTTTTGCTGGGGTCAGCCCATTGATCAGTCATCGTTCATTTTCATCATCGGCTAGTGAAGCTGCTAAAGGTAGCATTGGCAGTGCAAGTAATGGTGGTGCTGGTGGGGAAGATTGGACTGCTAAAATTAAGGAAATATGGGAATCAACAGCTGAGGCTGCAAAATTTACAGGGGAAAAGGCAAAAGAAGTGTCTGAAGAGGTGGTTCCTCATGTTCAGAAGTTGCTCGATGCTCATCCTTATCTTAGGGACGTAATTGTCCCAGTGGGTGGTACCTTGGCTGGGACTTTATTGGCTTGGTCTTTGTTGCCGAGGATTTTCAAGCGTTTTCATAAATACTCTGTGGAGGGCCCGGGCGCTCTCCTTTCCAAGAGTTCGATATGGGGGCCTGTTCCTTACGAGAAAAGCTTTTGGGGCGCGTTGGAGGCTCCCGTCAGATATTTCATTACTTTTATGGCATTCTTGCAAATGTTAGTTTGAATTATCTCGTATCTTTTTCTGTGATTTTCAAATCTTGGTGGTATTCTGTTTTATATAGGGGGATAGCTTGCAAATGTTGGGTTGGGGAGAAGAACAGTTTCCTTTCGAAATTACAAATACCCTTTAAAACCTCACTCATGCTTCTCGCTGCAGGGTAAATTGACAAAAGAGAAACAAATGTCAAATGGGTTTGTGATTTTGGAATAAAATCAGTTGTTGTTAGTGTTTTTTGCATTTCCTTGGTAATTGATCTTTCGAGTTATTAGAAACTCGTAACTAATACTGTTAAACACTTTGGGCAGTGGTGAAATGGTGGCCCCAACTGTTGTTGCCTCACAGTATGTTGCACAGGCTTGGAGGGGTGGCCTTGTTGTTTCACTTGTCTGGTTTTTACATAGATGGAAAACAAATGTGATTACCCGAGCTTTGGCTACTCAGAGCCTAGAAGGGGTCCAGAGAGATAAGCTTTTGACTTTGGACAAAATTTCATCTGTGGGACTTTTTGTTGTGGGCTCGATGGCATTTGCTGAGGCATGTGGAGTCGCGGTACAGTCTATTCTGACAGTTGGAGGAATAGGAGGTAATATCCAGAGGAATTAAAAGTGCTTCTCTCAATTTGAAGTTTCTTTGAAAGATCTATTATGGCATATTCAACTGCTAGAACGGGGTTGTGCATTTTGTAAGATGCCGTGTCCTTTCAACACTACGCTTTATTATCTCTTGGAGATCATTTTGGTACTGTGAACATTTTTTTTTCTTTTTTTCTTTTTGAAATTATTGCAAAGAAAGTAATAAATTTTGTTTTTGGACTGGCATGGTATGTATGTAATATCTGGGAAATTGCACTACAAAGATAACTCTGAATGGCAATGAATAGAGTAATATGCATAAAATCATCGGCGGCTGGTCCCAGTTTTCTTTTCATTATGATTTTCCGTAGGTCGCTAGTTTCCAAATCTAACTCCCTTTGTGTATCTGTCATGCAGGAGTGGCTACTGCTTTTGCATCTAAAGACATACTTGGGAATGTACTTAGTGGTCTCTCCGTACAGATTTCACAGCCATTTTCGATTGGTGACACAATTAAAGTATGGAAATCAATTGATTGACTGGTGGCATTTTTTAGCCATTCTTGTTCTTCTAGAGTTATAAGAACTACTGTTTAATGATTTACTTTTTGTTATTTAATGACACAGCTTTAATGATTTCCTGTATATAATAATATTTTACCTGCATCGTCCAGGGCATCAAAATATAAGGAAAAATTTATATTATGTTCTTTCCACATATTGGATAGTGTAACAGGCATCATTCCTCAATTGTTAGCATGATCTTGCTTCTTATTTGTACTTGAGCGTTTGTATCTAATTTCCTGTGTTTCAAAGAGACAAAGGAAGCTTTTTCGTTGCTTCTAAAAATTTGAGATTGGAGTTTTTTAGCTTTTAGCAGAATGCCTGAAACTATTATGAGTGCACGTTTAATAGCTAAAGAAAAATGTCATTGTCTAAAACTGATAACCCTGAGGATGATCGTAAGTTTACCCCTCGATTTGGATTTTCATATATGTGCTCTCAGTT